TAACAGAATGAAATTGGTATTTTGTGAGAACGATATAACAATACAGGGTATCAATTATATCCTTTTCTTAACCCTACCTAGACCGGGCTTTTTTTGACATGGGGGGACCGGGGGGGGCTCTTTTGACCCCCCCTAAGAACTCGCGAACGGTATGTCGTATGACCACCAAATTTTCAGAGAATGGTGTACTAGTGACAATTTATCATATCTACAATTTTTATGTCGCTATGACGTAATATGACGTCATTATGACGTCATTAATGTGATTTTATTGGCCAAAACCGTCTAAATAGGTTTTTCCCTGAAAACCTCCCTGGTATACAACATAACTTTACCAAAAGTGTTTATGACAGAATGTTAGTGTGTACTAAGTCTTATGTTGCCCATAGCAACACCGGTGACGTCATAAAATGACGTCATGCATATTTAAGATATCCGCCATCTTGGATCATCAATCTTGAATTTTCAAAAATAGTTTTTTTCATGATAAAGCCTAAAATACATTGTAAGCATACTAAACACCTTCATTCAAACCTTTTTTGTAAAAAGAAATGGAAGTATTGATGAAATTTTAATGAAAATAACCCGTATATACCTGTTCTAGTGATATGGTCCGCCATCTTGGATTTTGGCCAATGACGTCATCAAATTAGCATAAATTATGCATATTTAATGATAAAATTTACATAAAATTATATGGGATTTTATTAATATTAGAAACCATGAGTAACTTGACATAAAACCCATAAAATTCTATTGTTGAAACAAAAAGTACTAAATTTAGCAAAAAATGCCTGTCAGAAACCCGTTGCCATGGCAACACAAAAAATTATTATCTTATTCCAATGATAGAGAATTGTTGCCAACAATATTTTAGGAAAAGTCACCAAGTTTGGTCGTTCTACGGCTAGCCGTTCAGACGCTAGGTGACATCAAAGTTGCCGCGGGCACTTTTAGCCCCCCCCGGTCTAGGTAGGGTTAAAATGGTATCTGCTACTTGTTTCAGTCTGTTTAGGATAATTCGCAATATGAAATGCTGGAATTACTTATTCACACATTAAAAAAATCTCAATCCAAGAAGCCCATCACACCATGTTATCTTATTTTTTCTTATTGTTTATTCGTACATAATGAAAATGAATCGTTTGACGACGGCTAAAATGATTGTCTACGCAGAGCGCAGATTGCAATACACTTTGTGACGACTTAGAGCGGTCAATCCTGTGTTATAATTGACCCTTAGCTACTAACACGGGTCTTTAAAGACAAAATCAGCTTAGCGTGCGTTTTTAATACCTAATAAGCAAGGGTTAAAATAGCTTTACCTTAAATTAAAACGAAGCTAACCATGCTAAACTGGTACACTTTAAACAAAAACGCATACAGCGTAAAATTTTTAATCTCTACACCAATTTAACGATGAAAAACGAAAAGGAAAAAAAAATCCAAAATAAAATTTCTGCTACGCCATACTTATAATTGTTAAAAAACTTCCATGAAAGTAAAATCTTTAGTAGTTAGTAGATTTAATAAGTAATTTTACGTTCCCTGGGAACAGCAACAAGGAGGTACTCCCCACTGTGGCTTCTCCTGCAGCTTGAATAGTGAATTGACCCCCATAAACACAAACTAATACATAAACATCCTAGACTGTCTCTGCCCCAGAAACAAAAGACATGGACAGATTCGAATGATCTCAAACCGTGCAGAATGATCTAAATGGTTGTGAATAAGTAACATAATCATGAAAATACTATCTGTAACTTTCAGTTTCTCAAAAACAAACGTGGTCAAATTCCATTTTTTTTGCAATCTGCACTGCTAACGTTTTATCAAAGATTCTAACTGCAGATATCTATATGTGTACGTTTGAAATGTCAACCTCAAAAATGGATTAGCTTGAATAGAAAGGCAAACCTTGGCAAGACATTGTTGTCATTACTTCATATTCTGGGTTAGTGGAGGCTAACTTCTTTATGTACAACATAAAAACATAAATTCCTTATCTCTTATAAAAATGTTTCAAACCCACAGTGTCTTGAACGGTCTTGGTCACCGCCTTAGCCAGCCCTGTGTCCATATTTCCACCACAGTAGCCAGGGATAGAATAAGGTGAAGTAGTTTACGTTAAACCCTATACAGACCGGGCTTTTTTGGGGCATGCTCAGACCGGGGAGGGACTTTTGAGAGACTTATCTTAGGGCCACCAAAAATGGTGTAGTAACAAATTAATTCATAACAACAACTTTTATATAACATTTTGGGGTTAAACCGTCAATTTATTTTTTCGTAAAACTAAGATGAATACAACCAAAACTTAACAAAGTGTCTATGATAGAACATTAGTTTCTGCTTAGACTTATATTATCCCCTAGCAACAACACTGACGTCAAAAAAAGTGACGTCATAAATGACGTAATGCATAATTAAGCTGTCGGCCATCGTGTATCGGAAATAGTTACAGGAAGCGGAATTTCTTGGGTTTTTTTCTAGGAACAGGCCAAAATCAATGCGCGCGCTGACGTCATCCATAAAATTTACTTGATGTGGCCTAAAGCAAAACAATACTAGGACCACCAAGAAATGAGTTCTGGACTACTCCTTTGACTTTCCTTCTAATATCTTTGCCAAATCGTGGTCGAAGGAGTATCCGAACATACCAAAGTCTTCTAGAAAGATCTCTCGGAGAGGCAGGATTTCTTCTATCGGAACTTGTGCGTAGATGTCACTGAAGACATTGTCACTGTTGGCGTGCCTCGGTCGTTGTGCCGGCAGAATCTCCTCATTTGCTGTGATGTTGTACTTCTTTAAAAAAAGTCGAACATCTGTCGCGACAGTGTCGGTGTGGGCTATGAAGTCGTAGTCAATCTGCGGGAGAAATATTTGTTAAGAACAAAAGCGTACAGGGCAGAATTTTCGGCCCTTTCCTTAATCTATTATTTTCAGGTATGCAATGATTTAGTTACTGCCTACTGGGACAGAGTCAGCAAGTGAGTGAAGGCTGGTTGCCTGAGTGGGCGATTACAGCCCTTTTCAGACGGAACCGCATTTAATCCATTATTCCATCAAAGCAGAATCAAAATGGCCCCATCTAAACGTTCAAAATCGCATTGAAAGTACCTCGACTTCAAATCTGTCGTTTTGTGTTCACGTTTTTCTTGTTAAAGGAGATATGTGGTCTCTGCTTGACGTGTATGTGTTTTTAAGATAACGTCGCAGGCTGCAATGCTACCCGCACCAGCTGTGTAGAATCCAGGACAACGGCGACAGCTGTAACCTCAGCAGGACCAACAGTTTGGCTCCGGGCGTGCCCTACCACGTTTTGCAGCGGTGGTTTTCGGCCCTGGTTACCGTGTCTTCCCTGACGAGTCCAACAGTTTGGAGGTTTCCCGACGACACCTTCGGGTTGCAGAAGCCAGAGTGGTTTTGGTGTTATTTCTGTTTGTTTTATTATCTGTTTTTCCGAGTTTTGGTAAAATCTTTTTGTCATTTTGGCGGGAGCGTGTTTGAACCAAATTGGTCTCGGGTGTTGACTTTGGTAGATAAGTGTTTTTATGTTTGTCAGGAGGGTTGGAAACTCGAGTGGAGCCTCCGGTACTTTGTACCCTTGGATCATGGAGTGGTGATGCCCTCATGGTGTTGGCACATTCGAGTGGGTAGTTAAAATATAGTTGGTATCTCTGCGTGACGTGTATGTGTTTGTGTTTTAAAGGTGATGTAGTAGACTCAAGGACTACCCGGGCCAGCTGTGTAGGACCCAGGACAACGGCGCTAACTGAATCTTCAGCAAGGACCAACACCAGGGAAACCCTTTACTCCAGCAGGACCCACTCCAGCAGGACCAACACTGCAGTGTCGCATGTAATTTGATCGTCGATGTTGCCACGTGGGTGTCTCTTATGCACATTCCACGTGCAGACACTCAGTGGCAGACAGTCGAACGGATCCAGACATGGAGAGCGCTGATATTTTGCTACATCGCGTGTAAATTGACTGTCGATGTTGCCATGTGAGTATGTCGTTGGCACATCCCACGTGCAGACAGTGGTAGACAGTCGGACGGATCCAAACATGGCGAGCGCTAATGTTTTGTTTCTTGGCATATCCCGCGTGCGGGCACTCAGTGGCAAGACAGATAAGTGACTGTCGACGTTGTCATGTGACTGTCTCTTTGGGACGTTCTACATGTGGGTACTCGCGATCGGTCGCAGATAGCTATAGTCAGACGGATGAACACATTGCGGGTGTTGATACATGTATTGCGTCATATGTGGTGAGCGTCTAGGTTGTCGTATGAGTGTCCCTTTGGTCTTTATCAACATTTGGGCACTCATTGGTGAGTAGGCTACCTTTTATGTATTTCGCACGTTCTGATCGTTGATATTAAGATGATCACCCATTTAATGAAACAGATCTACTTATTGAAAGGTTGGATCTGCCTATGTACAGAAATTCGAGGCGATTAGATTTTACCTCGTTGAAAACTGAAAGGGTAATGAGGAAGGGTGACTCCTTTGATGACATTAAAGTCGGACTGATCTAACTGGCCAGTAGATCTCCTGTGACTTTTGAATGTTGGTCTACTGGGGACTCTTTCAGAGAGAGATTAGCTTCAAAACCACCCTAAAGCAGATGTGTTAATGGTTACAAGAGAGAGAGAGAGGAAGAGACTGGTTTATTTGTACCATACAAGTACACACAAAGCCTGTAAGCAGCCGTATTTGGCTGAATTTGGGAAGGCTTTAAACACAAAAAGCTATTTGATAAAAGTTCGTTACATTTGATAAAAACCTATTTGTTGCATATTAAGTTAACATTAAAAATTACAACACGTTAAAGTACAATAATGCAATATAAAAACAGTTGAGTCAATGCTTACTTGAACTTAAGATTACCGAAATAATCTACAGTTGTAATATGCAGGGCTTGTATACGTAAAGGCTGATGAATTGGATTATTTTTCATCGTTCAATAGCTTAACAACATACGGCAGAGTAGTGTTCAAGAAACGGGACGTTCTGCACCTGAAGTGGCTTATGTTGTGCGAAATTTCTACCATGTACATCAACCCGGCGTGAGGGTAGCCAAGAGACAAAGTCGGACTTAACTAAAGATTTGGCAAACTTCACACAGTGAGCTCTGCGTCGCTCATCTAGAGATGTTAGGTCACACAGACGGAGTGCAGAACTGTAGTTGGTGTACATGCTACCCAGAATGATTTTACATGCCCTAACTTGAACATTCACAATCTTCCCTGATTGCTCCTTCGTCAGACCAGGGTGCCAAACTTGGCAGCAATACTCTAGGGTTGGTCTCACAAACCCTATATACACAAGGACTAAGTCAGACATATCGAGACCATGTTTCTTTAAACATCTGAGCATGTAGAGTCTGCGGTTAGCTTTGCCAACTATCAGTGTCACATGGGCAGTCCACTTCAGGTTAGCCTGGAGCATAACTCCCAGTACCTTAGCAACGTGTACTACCTCGTGTTCTGATGTATTTACCAGCAGTCTAGGTACCGGTGGGGGATTTCGTAGAAAACTGATGAGCATCACCTTGCCATGGATTTAGTTCCATGAAGTTTGTGTGTGTCCAGCTGGCAAGCTTGTCTAAGTCAGTTTGCAGTTCTGAGGAAGCTCCAGCAAGTCTGGCTTCAGCAAGTGACATGTCGTGGACAAACTTAAAAGCCTCGGCCGACGTGTCCTCTTGCGGAGTGACAACTGAGAAGGAGTTCTTGTAAAATATCTTCCTGGATACCCCTGGCTTCCCTGTTATAAAGTCATCAGCAAGTTTTTTTTTTCTTGGAAGTCACAGAGTTTTAAATACACAGTGACTAAGTAGGTTCAAGCCATGCGGTAAGGAGAAGAAAGCCATAACCATTTGATGATTGTCATGGTCAGTGGAAAATGGACCACTGGGATACAAAGTGTCCTGAGCCTACGTTAAATATTGAATTCAGACGTAAAGATTGTCTGGTGGTGTACTGTATCCAGAAGACAAGTGTAACTTGTAAATCAGGTCATCTTGGCTGCAATAACGTTGTCTCTGGTACAGATATTGGGAAGTATTGATATGTTTTAACAGAACAGCGTGATTCACCCAGGAGGACCAGCAGCTCGAATCGCATACGTCAGGAGTGTTAGCAGTGGATGGAAAAAGTAACGAGCTCAGGCGCCTCAAACCAGTTTCATGTTACAAAAGAGGATTTCGAGAGGAATAAGTCAACACGAGTTTAGATGCAGCCACAGCCTGGCAGAGGGCACATGAGAGAACCATCTGGAAGACAGCTTGGAGAGGCGCGACGCTCCCTGGAGCATGCGGTGCTGAGTGTGTGAGTGAGTGAGTTTAGATGAAGGACATTTTACAGTTGTACACTGTAACTTATGTTCTAAATGCAAGTTGTTTGCATTTAAAAAAATCGCGTAGGGGCGGTTATGTTACTGTAAAGATAACTCAATTATTTACACTGCGCTGTGATTAAATCCTGCATGACGTCATAAACTCTTTAAATATGAATGTCACCCCGGCTAATCACCATTGCGATAATTGGACGCAACCGCAACGCCCAAGAAGCGTGGTGTTTGGCCAGTCCCAGGGAGTGCGCGCGGGGG